GGTGATCGAAAGCCGTTTTGCAGGGTCCTTAGTCCACCATCTCGACACAAGGGTATTTCGTTGCGGAAGCTCATCGCCCCCTCAGATGACGCGAATTACCTAGATTACCATGCAAAGCGACGAGTTTGAATATTTACGGGGTAAGCCGCAGCAGCATTATCAGAGTATACTGAGCATGATCAAATTTGTGAAATAGTGAGGAGGTATGAAGAGACACCGGTAATAAAGATCGAAAAGCCAATGGGAGAACTCCTTCAGAAGGAAAGTAAAGGTCCGACGAATGTCTAGTAGTATCTATCAGAAGCATTAGTTTTCATCCACTGCCTCGATTCGTCGTGACACGGTAAACGAAGGTCCCATTACATTAGCTCATAGCGCGGCCACGAAACTCTTTACGTAGCGTTGAGAGTGATTTCTCGATGTTTTCCCAAGCCGGATTTTGATGAAATCGCGGGGTAAATGGATCAAAAACACTGCTATTCTGCCTAGCTGTGGAACTGGAGTAGATGCGCTCTACCCTCGGTGGTAGGACGGCGTCCAGGTACGCGGTAACGGCGGAAACCGCCATTTCGGATCCAAGTGGCGACGTTCCAACAGCAAAAAACTTGAGGTTTGGGAAGGGAATTGCCTCGTAAGGAAGTCGAGGCATATCCTCAGTGTTAAGGAAAAGAGCAAGCTTGCGAAGCCTGTGGGAGAAGTACCGCGCAAACCTGGGTAGCATGCTCATTGGTATTCCATGAGATGATTGCAGTCCAGGATAATCCCGTCGAGAACATAGGTTCAGTGCTTCTAGCCTACGCCAAGCTTTCCCCATAGCTTTGACGTTGCTTTTATCCGGATCCCATCTACCGGGATACTCTAGGTCAACGGTCCTGAGTTTTGAGCAACGGAGCAGAGGACAAATCGAGTCGATTGTCAGGTAACATTCGCGAGCGAACGTCAGCCTAATCTCTCTCAGAAGAGGGCAAGCGTTTGCCAATGCATTGAGAAGCTGCTTGGGAGTAAGCCCCGAGTCGGCGGTGCAGCGAGTTTCTAGTACTCGAAGCTCGGGCTTGAACATTATGGGCTCGAGAGCGAGGGAAGGCACCTTCAATTCCTGTAGTGAGTTCTGAAGTCGGATGATGGTCCGGACGTCTTCATCTGGTGTTTCTTCCAGAATCGACTTGAAGTGGAAGACGCGGAGGTTGGGAGGGAGCAGACGGCTGAGCGCTCGGAGAAGGCGAGAGGTTGCTTGCAAGGTACATCCAGATACAGCAATGCTGAAATCGTCGATCACAGAAGAGATCAGAGGTATGAGCAGCTGGAGCTCGCAATCCTGAGTTGCCACCCAACGAATCGCCCGATTCCGAGGAGGAGGTAAGTTCCTTGATTTATTGCCACGTAGCATATCAATTTGACCGGGAACTCGGGACTCATATGCTCTAGAGCGGACCCACATCCCTCGTAAATTCCGCCGTCGTAGGTGATCGAGTGGACCCGTTTCGAGTAGGATTGAAACCGAGCCCAATCAGTCTGTGGAAAACCGTCATCCCAGTCCTGCCAAAAGTGAGCGTTAGAGAGCGAGTTCGTTAAAAATTAGATTTGGGGAATGATTTTTCGTACCTAATTGGGTCTGAAGGTGATTGTGCTAAGAAGTAGTAAAAGCGGATGAGGCGAGTCCAGGTCCTTCCAAATGAAGTCTAGCGTGGCGTCTACCCAAGTCCGACACACCAGGGCGGCTGCAACACAGTCAGGGATACTGAGTTCTTTGAAGATGCAATAGAGAATCTCGGATATAGAAAGAGCGAAAGGGTGTAATGGCTGGGATTCGACTGCAAGTTGACCCGCTCGGTAAGTGAGGACGCCTTGAACGAGTGTATACACAGCTAAAGTTCACTCACCCGAAACGAGCTGGGTGGCTCCTTCCATCTATACGGTTGATTTGGCTCAGAGAATATCTTTTTACTTTGATTCGAAAGGTTTGATGAGATGTGTACAGCTGCAAGTGAATGGTTCACAGGAATCATACTAGGACGAATAGCCCAGGGGTATTTGACTACGCTTGTTGTTCAAACCACCACCGACGGCTTAGTCATGGCGCAGTCCGACACCGACACTGACCTCAAGTCTTTGCTACAAAAGCTCGAGTCAAAGTCAGGCCTCGGACTATCCTCTTCTTCAATCAACTCGCAAATATCTCCAGTCCTCGCTGCTCTTCTTACCCTCCGCCAAACCATCAACCCGTTCTCTCGCATACCTTGTAATCTCAAAGCTCGTTTCAAATGCGAGACCGTCTCCAACCGCCGGCCTCACCTCATCGTACGAATCAGACTAAGAGAAAGCTACTCAAAATCTTATCCGACCGTTCTCTCTTATCATCGAATCCCGTCTTGCCACGACATCGCTAGAGGAGGTCATACCAGCTCTAGGACTGTTCACAGCACTCTCCCAAATCGACTCTGCAACGGGAAGCGGGATATTCTTACAAGATGGAGTAGCCGGCGCGGTTCTGGACGTCCCAGATCTGTTTGAAGGCAAAAACGGGATAACTGCTTCAGGCCGTCGCAGCACTGCTATCTCAAGCCAGCGGTTCCAAGCCTTGTCGGCCAGTGGTCCAGGCGCACGCCATCTCATGGCTCCAGGATCAAGTTCGAAGGGACACGTCGACGCAGGAGTTTGAGCTGCGGCTGCCAACACGCTGACGAAGCTCTCTCGGGGAACTGCGGAGGACGTCAGTTCGGATACGCTGTCCTCTCTTGACGGTCCCGCTACGGACGGCGCGGTCGAAGAGGCGAGGAGGAAGGACGACGACGAGTCCCTGGCCAAACTTATGAAGAACCTTATCGTCGGCTCGAAGGAAACCGTCGGGCCAGGGCAACCCCTCACTGGCTCGTCGCAAAGCATCCTCGATGCTGTGGAGGGACTCGCTTACTCGAGCATGGACTCAAGCGTCAAAGAATCCCTTTCTGCGGACACGGCTTTCCTCACTCGACTGTTCTCTCTCGTCCCACCTCCCAAAAGACATCAAACCGGTGCCAAACCTACAGTCAACGTAACATCTGAAATCCTCCTCCCAGAGGAGAAAGCGAGCGTAGCGTTACTTTACGGGATTTCTGTGATCGTTCTCAACCTCGTTGCGCTCCGACCGAAATTGAGCGAGGAGGAGAAGCAGGTGGACCGGTTGAAGAGGATGACGAAGGAGGGTGCGAGGACGGGTGGAAAGCTCGCCGACCAGGATGGGAAAGAGGCTGAGGACCAGTTGGCAACGGACGATGCGGTGGTGAAGAAGAAGTGCAAGAGGGTGCTAAAAGCTGGGGTCGTGTCCGCTCTGGTTTCGATGTCGCATCGAAAGGAGAGCGAAGGCATCCGCAGGGCACTCGGTCGCATTTTCCTAAGCCTAGTCGAAGACAAAGAGAACAGAGGTAAAATCGTTCAAGGAGGCGCCGTGAAAGCACTTCAATGAACGATTGAAGCGTCCTTCACGAGCCTCAAGGATGCTCCGGTGGCTCCTCCGCCAAAGAAACCTCCCTCGAAATTCGATTCCACAGTGGCAGGAAGTTCATCCCCACCAGCGAAATCACTCGACCCACTCGACCTACCTGCTATTCAAGCCCTAGCCAAACTCCCCATCACCGCGTCGCCAATCCTACTCTTCGGACCTGATGCCTCTTCATCCCTCGACGGCGTCCACCCGCTCTCTCACCTCCTCCTGAACCCTTCCAGCACCCTCCTCCAGAAACTCGAAAGTCTCATGGCACTCACCAACCTCGCATCACTGGGTCCGCTCATCGCCTCCCGCGTCGCAACGCACAAAGAACCAGGTCTCGGCACCGTCTTGAACAAGACCGAGACGCCGCTGCTCGACGACAACAGCATGGTTCGACGTGCGGCCACAGAGCTGTTGTGCGACCTCGTCGCGAGTGATACGGTCTGGGAGCGTTATACAGGCGAGAAGCCTGACGGGACGAGGAGTAAGCCATCTGAGGAAGGGGATAAAGCGCTCGTCAGTAGATTGAGGATCTTGCCGGCGATGGCGGATGTCGAGGATGCTTAGACGCGGCTTGCAGCGTCGGGAGCGCTGGCGATGCTGGCTAATGCACCGGACGTTCCGAGGTCGCTGTTGGACAAGATGAAAAGCGGGGCTGAGGTGTTCAGAGTCCTCATCGACCTGATAGCTTCTGCAGAGGAAGGGCGCCGCGGAGACGAAGAAGATGGCGGCGACGACGACGACGAGACCAACTTACCTCCACCCACAACACCGGAAATCCAGTCTCAACTAGCATACCGCGGAGTCGTCTGCACTCGCACACTGCTTACGAACCTCCCCACCGACGCTGAGACAGTCAAATCCGTGGTCAAGGCAGCAAAGGTGCTGACCTGGGAGGAGCTTTGGTCCAAGCTTTAAACGCACGGGAGAACGCTGGGAGTCGGGAGGTGTTGGTCGCAAGCGCGGATGCGATCAAGTGGTTGATTGGGAAAGGAGTTGAAATTGTGATCTAGGTTGTACCTGTAGTCAACTCTGGAATGTAATTTCGGGCCTCTTTCATAACTTTACGTTTGGCATTTTGGGCTTGGTAGACTCGGGCCTCTTGGCTTTGGGTCCAATTTGAACCGGGGGCGTCCCAAGATGGAATAAGGGCTCCCAAGAAAATGGTACAACGAACGCAATAAGATGCGGGTTGCATACCGTTTTACTGGTCGTTTCATGTGCTCGATCTCCTAGGGCCAAACTATACTTCCTGAGAGATATCCGTTTTGCTAAATCATCAGCTGTAGTTTCACGCCATAGGCCAATTTTTCAGTTGCAATACTGACCTTCTGTATGCCGAGAAGTCTTTCAACTACGGAGATCAGTAAAGACCAATTTGTAGTATAATAACACCAGTGGCGAGGAAGCGGGTTTTAAGCTTTTCGGGGGATTGTGAAGAGAACCAAAAAGGACGATAATAGCCATGAGCCTTGCATGAACGACAACTACACTTTGCTCCATCTAACTTACAGGTGGAGATTTATGTTAACCATCTTCTCTGGTATATCGGTAGAACATCACCCTGTCATTTAGGAGATTAGTCACGTGACAGTCCCGGTGAAGAGCTGGGTTCGACTCCCAGGAGGAGAGCTCCATTTTTGCCTTTTTTGCATCCTAGGGAGCTGAACCCACTCACTACTTATGTGCAGAGCTAAGTCCCAGGAGACGTGTTTTTTTTCTTCTTCAAGTCGATGTTCAACATTTGTTTGTGCTTGCTCCCACAGTAGCATATAAACAAGTGTCAACAAATGTCAACACTTTCTACTCTTTCTATGTGACATTGAGGTGTTTGTCCCATGGTGCCCTATTCCTAATCCGTATTGCCTCTTAATCCCCCCTCTGGAACCTTACTAACTCTGCCTCTCCCACATGCTTAGAACTGATTATGAATACTTCAACTTCACAGCCATGTGTGTGAATTGCTATTATTAGGTATCCTAGACTGCGGTTGGTACTGTTCCACTACTGGACCTCAAAACTCCTCCGCAACAGGTATATAAGTAGTTGTAGACTAGTCTCTTTGTACGGTGGCGATTGTTCTCTAATCTAAGTCTTATGGCCACTGAACTCAAGAGTGTATGATTACCAAGACTACAAATACAAGACAATGGTCCTCTACAAGTAGGCAGAGACGGAGCTCTATGGGAGGGTTAAGAGGTCCCGGAAAGGGTCTTAAACCTCCATGTGTCGCTTACATGAGACCCCAATTTGGTAAAGATCCATCAAAATCCACGGTGTCCACACCGCATTCGGAATGACACCAAGCCCAATGGGGTGAAATGCCCCTGATTCATAAGCCATAGGCACCCCCACGTGGTGAGTTTAAGACCCTTTTCCTGACCAATTAACCCTCCCATAGAGCTCCGTACCAGACTCTCTTCGAGAGGGCGTGCAGCCCTGTCTTGCAAGAGTAGAGTCTGGTTCCGCCTGACTACTCTACAAGCAGGGCGCTTACATAACTGACATGCCTCACATTCAAGTCCTCTTTCTAGAAGTGAACAAAGCATTGCCCTCCAGGCGACCCTAGCCACAGCAGAGAACTTGGTTGGTAGGGAGTTCCCTCTAGCTCAAGAATACTTGGCTGTGCTGTGCTGGGCTTTCAGGTGCTGAATGGATATGGAAAGCTGTAAGCATGTGTAAGGATCAATGACCAACACCAAGTAAACCAAGATGAACGGGTAAAATGTCCCCTTGTATGTATCAGTTTATTAACCATATCATATATAATGGAGGGAAAGGCCAAAGCATAAGTGGGGCAGTTTATGTAAGTCATGTTGATTAGTAAGTGGCTTGCATAATAAAGGATCACAATGTCTTAGTGTAGCCTTAATGCAAACCAGAATTAAGTGGCCATAAGACTGTATGAGTGCTAGGGATCCATGGGATCTGTGTCTACACGGATGGCCCACTCCAGAATGTAACATTAGATAACGATATTCCCCACTTGATTAGCCAGTTAAATTCCATTTTTCCTTCTTGTGTATGTCTACAAACACTTTGTAAAAACTCCAAAGTCAATAGCTAATGAACTAAGGAAATTACCTTTTTGGGCTGTTATGTTTGGGAAACTGGCCCAACGTTTACTTCACCTTTCTGTCACTGGATTCGTTGGTCTTAGCCCTGTAAGCTCGACGAATACTATCCAGCCACTTGCTGTTCACTTTGCAATGTGCCGCAGTACACCGCAGCACGCTGTAACGGGCTCTGGGCTGTTCATGTCCGCTCAAACTCACTCTTCCAGATCCTTTAACTTGGCTTTCACATTGCCATGCTTTCCTGGGTCAAGAATCGTCACAGTCTGCCCAAATATTTTCAGCATGATTCTTGGCAGGGTTTTCCTCTCAACCTCCGGCTCTTCCATCCAATCAGCAGCAGGATCGGCGCCAGTTTTGGTGGGGGGTGCATGCCGGATGGTGATCCAGGGGACTAGTTTCTTTGCAGCAGCAATTCAGGGGCGGAAGATGACTGCTGAGCCAGAGGGAGGAATGTTGGGTTGATAAAGGAGAACTCACCGGTCACCTCGTCCATGTTATATGGTCCCAGCTGTCGTCAGAGGATGGCAAGCTGTTTCTTGACAGCTCAGGGGCAGTGCCAGAAACTGTTGGGACTTAGGGGAGTGAGGTGCTCAGGACTCCACACAGCGGGAGCCTTCAGGGTTCAGAGTAGGCGAAGAGAGCGGGCAAGGTAGTGGTGGGTGAGAATGTTATTGCTGCGTTGGAGTTCATCAACCTCCAACGCCATAGATTTATATACATGAGGACCATGGCATAAGACGTCCAAGACATTGATGCGGTCCCAAGACGAATGTGTAGCATATGAGTAAGACGATGAGTAATACGGGCATGCCCAAGTGAGACAAAAGACAAGGTCCCACATGCTGACTGCGTAGAAGCACGGCATAGAAGCCCCGTGGCTGGAAGGGGAAGGAGTTCAGTATTCATTATGCCGTACCCAAATTAGGTTTGTCCTCCGGCCAATCACCATGGCCCCCATCGGTCCCTCCTCCTATTGGTTCCTGATCACGTGACTTCGGAGTTAACACGGAAAAACGCGGTTTAGCCTTGGCGAGCTGAAATGTGTTCTGACAGAAACACAACTGGTGTTTGGCATTGGGGTAGATGCGCTGGCAAGCGCTGATCTCTGACCAGTCCTTGTTGGATAGCATCACCTTCACAATGAGGTTCCAGCAATCCTGAAGTGCTTCAAGAGCTCCTCTAGAACCTGTTGTTTTGCTCCAACAGGTGATGGCATGCCAGTTGATTTTACCAAGAGGGACCCCAGCGGCAATCCCGACCTGTATGCTTCACCTTGCACTGTGAAGACCTCAAATCCAGTGTGATTGGTCCCCCCAGCAATGTCCTTCACATTCAGCATTGTCCTCACTAGCCACTTACACCAGCACTCACATGCTGAGTCCATTGCCGCCTCTCAAAGACGTGATCTTCATCCTGGGGATCGAGGAAACCAATCACCAACATCCCCTCTGGCTCTTCAATTACCAACCCTTCAAACCTATGTTCTCCTAGCCCGCCAAGTGTCTCTCCCTTCTTCCAGAGGTTACGGACCGATGTAATCTCATCTACATCACTCTTCCATTTTTGCTTGGCAAGATCATACCACATTTGGAAGACCAAGTCTTGAGTGAAGGTGGGTGTGGGATATCTCTTAAGTACTTCCTTCCATATCTTCAGAAGTGCTGTCAACAGCTGAAGATGAGGCTATTGAGCGAGAGTGTACCTGGCTCAGATTTTTATCCAGTGAGCTCCGCACAAGGTCTTGGATATCACTTGGCAATGAGACATAGCAGTATGGGACATGGTCTATCTCAGGAGATACCACTATATTCACATACTTCACTATGGTCCCCAAGCCTACTGTGATTTTTACTCGGCCCTTACACTCAAAGGCTGGCATCTGCTGTTTATCGCGCTGCTTCGACTTGTCTGCACTTTTCTTCTGCTTATTCTGGCAGTTGATAGATTGCACGCGATTGTTTCTGTGTACAATGCTTTGTCAGGTCACTGGTCCAGGTGCGGACATCTTTATAGCTGAAGATGGAGTGTGCTAATGAGTGTCTTCCGGTACTGCCGCTAGTCAAGATCTGAATACCTACACAAACCTCCACCGAAGTGTTTCTGAAACTGCAGTTGCCAGCATGGTAGCGGTCGCTTTCTTGTCTTCAAGTATCTTGGCTTCCAGATCCTCCGTTGACACTCAAGCTTCTAGGTCACATTTTGTGGCGCAACCCGCCCGATATCCCTCCAAAACCGTGATGAAGTAACCGAGGGAGATAACGGGAAGTGCCTCTTCTTTTTCCTCGTGTTTTTCTTGATTCTGCTTTGTCTATGCTGCGATGCATTCCTCGCAGGTGGCTGCCCTTTCCTTTCCTTTTCCCTTGCCACGGTTTGCAAGCGGAAATGCCGTTGCTGGCTTATGGTGCCCGCATTTGGAACATCTGTATGTAGTAGAGCTGATAGATTCGTGATTTTGATGTCTAATGTGGGCTGGAGAGGTTACATGGGGAGATGAAAGGGGCAAAGCGCTTGAGATGAACCTGCCAATCAGGCAGCAGTCCAACATCCAAACGTAGAAGTCTAACTCGCAAATAATAATAAGCAAACCCAAAACGAGCATAGAAAGCTGACAAACATCGGAGTTTCGAACGGATCGTGGGGGTTCAATTGGATTAGCTATTCCCCGTCCGTCTAGAATTATTCCAAGGGTCGCGCTGATCGCTCTCTCCCTCTCCTCTTGCCCTCAACTACAACCTCAAGTCTTACTCACTCTTTCTGAACTGGTCTTGTGCTGCATGAAGCTTGGAACTAAGCCAACGCCGCGAAACATAACCCGGGAGGACCCGCAATCACTGGCAACAAGGTACGATCTTTAAACAGGGCCCCAACATCGACGAGCCCACATTGAATTGCCCAAGCCAGCTATCAACATACATGGCAGAGTATTAATCACCTACCGTGCTGACGATTCCTCGGTGCATTACTCCAGTCAGGGAGACGGCATCTCGACTTGAACCAAAGGCACGTTGCGATGCGATGTTTGAGCTTTGGACGTGCAGCGCAGTCTAACCTTGATCGCTCGAGACTGGCATGGTTTGCAAGGTTTCGACTAATTGACATCAAACGTGGCGCCGGACCAACTGATTTTCCTCCAGCGTTGGACTTGCCTATCTGCAAAGCCCGCATCATCGAAACCAAGGTTATTGGAGAATACGTACCCCCCGGTGATGCTTCATTATGGCGAGAGAAATATTGGCGAGCTTCCCCACCCTACCTTGAACTTTGTTAGCTGATCGGAGAATGGCTGTAGCTGAACGGCGGAAAGTGGCTCGACGACCGCTTGACAGTCAGAACTTGCAAGAACTGAATGCGCGAAAACGATCTTGTTATACGACACTCTTGACAGCTTGGACACCCGGGCCGCAATTGCAGACTTGTACAAAAGTAGAGGATGGAAACAAACAACGCAGAACTTGAGTACGTGAGGGTTGAAGAGCGTCTTTTTCTTTTGGGTTTTCGAGAATAATTAAAAGGACGACGTAGAAATTGAGCATTCCCCTCGGATCCACCGGACGC